TTTAACACAAATTAGGAAACAAATTAAAACAGAAACATCCCTGCCAACTTTTCTGTGCATGCAGACCGAAACAAACAAAAAGCTAAGCCAAGATCTGATGTGTAAGAACAACTTTTAACCACTAAAAAAGAGGTCAACAATGCTCTTATGGTTTATAAATTGACATCATATTTGAGATTAAAGAGAAAAGATAACGTTGATTACTTCTGACAAAGATGAAAAACGAAGAATGTGTTTTCAGTGCAGTTATCAAATAGTTACAAAAGAACCCTGGTTTTATTTTACTGTAATTGGAGATCTTTAAAATCATCTAGGATTGAGCAAGAAGGTATAAATGTTCTCCAAATGTATAAATTCAGGGGTTGTGAGGTGTGAGATGAGAGGGAGAGAAAAAGTGCGAGTCTAACATATGATCAACAAATCACCTATTTTTTCTGATAATCAGACCTAACATACCATAATTGCTTCCATATCTCCTCTCTATTTTCAGCGGGTACATGGCCTCACATTTCATTCAAATGAAATTGGGAAATGTTGCAGCCAAACAGGGAGGGAGTTTTTACAGTGATGTTGAGAGTATGCCAGAATGCCCTCCCACACACTACAGACAGATGCTTTTAATAAGTCGAGAGTACAGAACCCATACCGCTATTGCCTTTATTTTGTATTTATTTAGCTAGATCCTCATGGAGATACATTCTGACCGCCTATTTCGCAAAGCCATGCAGCTACAGATTCATGTCTATTGAAAGTAATAAGAAAAGTTTGTGCCACATATGTGCTCGCACGCTGCACTTAAAGGATAGTTCACCCAAAAATGAAAATTATGTCGTTTCAAACCTGTATGACATTCTTTCTTCTGTGGAACATTAAAAAATATATTTTGAATGGTTACCATTGACTTCCATTGTATGGCTGAAAAAAAAGACGTTTCTTAAAATATATTTTTTTATGTTCCACATAAAAATGTTTTCGGAAACGCATGAGAGTAAGTAAATTATGACAGAATTTTCATTTTAGGTTAAACTATTCTTTAAAAAAATATCTGCAATATTATTTTTCGAGTCGCCTTGAGAAAGCAACACAATATGTGTGCTGGTGATTCAATCGCTAAAGTTGGCCAGTCATTTCTGGAGAAAAATATTTATTCATTTTCCAGTGCATTTCCTCGGCTGCAGGTTTTGAGAGATCCGCTTTTTCTCAGCAAAGTAAAAAACCTTCTAACACGGTGTGGTGAAACACGTAAGCACCCAGTGTGCAAAGAAAGGGCTACATTTTCACGTTACCCCGCTTCATGCCTACTTAAATCAAAATGAAAGTATAGCATATGACTACACTTATGCACAGAGGGGAAAGCTTAACATAGATCAGACATGAAAATGTTCAAGACCAACACAGAGGCCAACAGATAATCTGTACCCCTCCATGTCACCCACAGCGAAACCCTTAGAGCCCTAGACAGCTCTTGGAGGAAGCATTAAAGCTTACAGCCTTCTCAATGGGTAGGCCAATAAAACAAGGGCAGATTACATTCTTAAAGAGGCACGTTTATCCAAGAACGTCGCACTGTTTCCAGAACAACCTCCCAACCTGAAAGAGGACACAAGGTGTTCGGATCTATGACGGCTTGGGATCTACATTGCCCTGAGGCTCGGGTATGGGGTCACACAGTTATGTGAAACATTTGGATTTTTCCTAGCTTTTCACAGTCATGCTCAGATTTTGGTTTTCAAATAATGCGTTTGTCCGTATAGTGGCAATAACAGAGGTTTTCTGAGCACTGGCTAGTAATAGCTGCAGGCTCACTTGTGAAACAAACGCAGCTGTATTATTGGACTCTGTTATGAATGTGGTATCTATCAATAGAGAATCACAATGAATGCAAACATCTGTATTCTGGTGATGTGGTTGGGATTCTTGCTGTATTGCAATATGTAGAGTTGGGCACTTTGAAATGACGATTTGGTAATATTTTACATCCTTGACAAGACAATACAACAAAAAAAAGACAGTAATAATGATTATGACAAGTTCTCAAATGCTCACAAGAAAATCCAAAAGAGATGAATGTCAGCTGTTTTCAGCATGTTGATCAAAGAGATTAATGTGCAACCAAAAGAGGAGGGTTTTGAAACTCAAACTCATATAGAAGGGGCTCAAAACTTGCATTTTATTACATACACTCTTGAAAATATATTTTTTTATTGGCATCTATGGTTCCAAGGAGAACCTTTAACATCCGTGGAACCTTTCCATTTCACAAAAGGTTGACTTTTTAATGATTAAAAAAAAAAATCTTTAAAGAACTGTTCGATCAATTGTTCTCTTGGGAAACGGTTCTTATATGCTACTGCTTTGAAAACCCCATTATTAATGGTATGCTTGTTCAAACATTGATTATGAACATATTTGTGAATTATGAAAGTTGTTTAAATGTATTTCTGCTAAGACTCGTAGCTACAATGTCATAGGGAAGTGTCTGAGCGGCTAATTGTTTCAGTATCTCGTTCATTTTGAGCACTAAGTGACCAGTGTGTCGTCATTTCAGGTTCAGAGGAAGCCAAAGTCTGAGTGGCTTCAGCTTTGCCGAGGCCTGAGTCAATTAATTGCTTTGTTGAGCTCATTAGTTCATGGTCCGCAGGTCTTAGTCCTTTTGTGTCTGTGGTTCAAGTGTGTTTTCTGATGTCTGCCTTGAAAAGAAGCCCATTAAAAGCAAAGGAAGGAACAGCAAATTGCACAGACGGATGACTCAGGTTTACCATTCAGCTCAAGAAAACAGTCCGATTCACCAAAAGCACCTGAGCCTTTAATTGGAGACAGGAAGTGCAACATAAGTGAGGAAAATAAAAGGTCTATTTATGTTAAAGAACTAAGAAACAATTCTTACTTCCAACAAACTTCAATTATATTCTTTAAAATAAAGTCAACGTATGTTTTGTTTACAAGCCTCTTACCTTTTATTACAATTAACAAATACCATTCAACTAAAAAAAATATATTTGGAGCAGAATAACATTATATCACAGTAAATAACATGCTTAAATGTCCATATTATACTAGCCGCCAGCCTATAAATTATAGATACCCTTAACAAGCGTCACCAAATAATTTGTGAGACTGCCAATAAAAAGCTCTCATGAGCATCATAAAAAGGGCTGAATTTTACTTAAATAGCACTGACTATTTACTATTTTGATGTAAACAGTGAATTTTTAAATATAAATGATCAAATAGTAACTGTTAAAGATCACAAAAAATATCATAAAGCTCACTGTTAATGTGATCAGTATTACTTCGAGGCTCATTAAATGTAAGTATATGCGATTGTTTGCCTGTTATATAATTTTCCAGGTGTAAATCATACTTTTGATTGCTCAGAAAAGTAATAAAACATCTCTTGTGTTTAATACTGATGGTTGCCTTACCAAGCACCGGTAAAAAGAACATCACAGACAAGTATCAAGTATCTGATGATTGTTAATGCGAGCTACACAAAACTCATCACAGAGTAATGGTTCCTCCAAAGACAAACTGATTAGCAACAATCTGAAAATAAAGCTGACAAATACAGTAAAACAGATTTACCTTAAATACATCTCATGTTTCTTCGAAATGTCTGCCATAAACAGATCTCTTAGAATATGTTGTTTTAAAGTTATCAAGGTTCACTGTTCTTACAAGATGACTTTTTATGTCTTTCCTGTTCTTTCTTCTATTCTTTTATCCTCTTTGATTTTTCAATATCGGGGATGAAAAAGACTGGATTTCATTTCTAGCTACAATACCTCAGAATGATGATATGAGAAGCAAAACTCTACAAACCGAATTTCTAATATGCTCTTTGCTCATAGCAAAATTTTAAACATGGAAAGGAACAATGTGCATGATAAGGTTATATATATGAAATAAATCCTTGAAAAAAAAAATACAGAGTAAAAAGATAAAAGAGCTTTAGAATTGAGTTGAGTTTAATTTAAACTGTAGTGTCCTATGGGACAGGGCTACAAGTTAAATTATACCCACATTTTAGCAACAACATCAGAGGGTATATGGGAGGCCCTCTTTTGGTAGGCACCGCTACCATGAAATCTTCATAGGCTAGTAAATTTCGCCATGCATAATTCCACTATGCCCTGAGAGGGTACGTCTCTTAAACAGTGCTGGAGTAAACCTGTCATTTTCTCTCAGGCAACAGCCAAATTTCCAAGGACTAAAATATAAGAACAGAGCAACAAATTCATGCAAGGTTAAGTATCCTCTGTATCCCCTACTTTGCACCGATAGCTGGCAATGAATTTTAATGTCTCGTAGCTGAGCTTACACAATAAATCTGTGGCATCCACCAGCCTCAGCGGACAGAGGAGCTCCACTCTCATCTTTATAACTTCCACATGTGAGTTATTTAATTCAGCATGAAGTATATAAGCTGTGGTTCTGCATGTGGTCACACTGACATGTCGAACACTGACACTTATCCAGGCTGTACAAAATTGTTTTCATCATTACAACATCTCTGTGTCCATCCATTTAACTTTTCACAATAATTTCTGTCGTTTCGTATCGATTTTTATGAGTTTTCAGAGTTTCAACTTGATTTTCTTCATCTGGAATTAAATTCATACTTCAGGTTATAACGTTGGCATTAAACTTAAGTTTGAAAGACAGTGCAGACTGCAATGATGAGATGCAACAGTGATTAATTCCATCCTTCCGAGAGCTTAATTGAAAAAAGTCTTTCAAAATCCCCATCAAATATAAAAATATACACAAAATGCTTTAGTGGGATAAAGTACAACTGCACACAGTTCACAAGACAAGTCCCTATTGAGCTGAGCGTTCTTATCAACATCACATGGCAAATCACCTGCTGCATCATTTATATTGACCCAATTTAAGGCATAGTTCAGATTTTGAGATAAAAATGAGTAAATATGCCTCAGTTGATCGTTTTAGGAGGGAAAAGAAGGTAAAACATCCCAGACTCATGCAGAGGAACAAACCTGGAGGACACGAGCACTCTTGCGCTGCTTCTCGAGCTGTGCGAATTTTCGACACTCCCTCTCGGAGTCTCTGAGAAAACAAATATTTATATGATATACATATATACATTGATAACTGAAAATTACCAGGATATTTTTCGTTATGTTTAAGGATGTTTCGTTTAATCCTAAAACAGTACAATGCAATGCGTAATTCAAAATTCTGGGGAAACACCATTGAAAACTCAATACAGAAAATTCCTTCATAATTTTTACTGTACGGTATGAACAGCCATTCTCAAATTTCATTTCATACTTTACAAAATTAAAATATTAGAACATCATACAGTTTATATAAAATCAAAAACAAACTGAAAGCCAAATAATTGACTTTTTTTTTGTATTAATGCTTATAAAAGCAGCAAATAAATGTTGAAAATAGAGTCGCCTCACCTCTTGCACAAGTTTCTCTATCGCATCCCGAAGAGTCGCGTTCGCATCCAGTGTCGCGTGCGCAGGTTGAATCACAGACAGTCGCTCCATCTCCAGAAGCTCAATTTTACGCTCAAGATGAGATGTTTTGACGTTCATAAACAGACAAACTGCCACCGAAGACGCCGACAACATGAAACATACGAGGGTTGTTGAGGAGTGAAATATTTGTGATGTGTGATGTCCATTGCTCTGTGATGACTTTGACACGTCTTTTGAATCCCCAGTTGAAACCATTTTAACCAGTTTTGGCATTATGGTTCAAATATTATCCTTGTTCTTGAATCCTCTTTTGAGACTCGGGTAGACCTTTATTTCAGTAAACTGGAGTATATGGCTTCAGCGCAACTGCGGCTGACAGGAGACGCAACGATGTGACGCACACTAGAAGAGAGCGTGTACTACTGAAAAAAAGTGTGCTGCGCGAGACAAGCTGACGGTCGTGCGCCTCTCAGACTTAAATGGCCCTCTGAAGTGTCTCAGAGAATCCAGCCAGCCCTTTTTGTCGCTGCTCAACAAAACTATGTAAGCGACTAATTGTGTGTGTTTATATGTGTGTGTGTGTAACACAGTTACACTATGTAGCCAACGTTTTTCGTTGTTGTTAAAAACTAAAATAAATTTAAAAAATGAGCGAGCACATCAAAAACCAAACTGTGTTTCTTGGACCCTGATTCACTATAAGCTGTCGGGAATTGCATACTTCCCTCATTCGTCTGTACGTCTTAACATTATGTCCGTAAATAAAATAATACGGTCAGACTACAGTTTTCTTTATAATTAATGTTTCACCCTCAAGCAAGGAGAAAATGTATAAACTAATATTTGATGTAGCAAATGAAAGATCCGGCTACTAGGGCATGTATGACAAGGAGAAGGCTTGGTTGAAACATGTTTTTCGGATATGTCTTTTTATTTCCTTTTCATTTTTCTTTATTTGTTTGTTTGTGATGCAAAAATGAAGCCAAGCCAAACTCAAGTAATTGCCAAACCAATTGTTCAATTGTTCTAAGTAATTTGTAGTTTTATGCTTCAACCACTAGAGGTCCAGAAGATAACGTTTGTTTAAAGGGGTCATATGATGTTGCTAAAAAATAACACTATTTTGTGTATATGGTGTAATGAAATGTGTTTATGCGGTTCAAGGTTAAAAAAACACATTATTTTCCACATAATGTACATTATTGTTGCTCCTCTATGCCCCGCCTTTCTGAAACGCGTCGATTTTTACAA